AAGAGGGACATCTTTTTCATGCATTTTTTGTATGTTTTCCAAAGATGATGGATTTTAAAATAATTTTATCTTATATAATATCAGAGAAAAATATGTTCGAAAGTCTTCTCTGTCGATTTCTCGAGCGTACATCCACCCCTGTTTAATTCTAGCGCGAATATTAGATGATTTCCGAACCGCCTCTTGTTTCATTCAAATATTACTAAAAAACAAAGTAAACTACTTTTCACAACAAAATCATTAGTGATTGATTATATCTTTCTATTTTCTAGGAAAAATTACCTAATTTGAAATTTTTTTCACTGATCTGTTTTAATGATTCAGATACCTATGATGAAGTGATTATACCACATCTACATCGTATGATGAATTTAGAAAAGTTAATTTTATATTTGGTGATCGATTTTGAGGAAATATTTATCAATGGTAATAATTTTTAAAAAACAATATTTATAATTATATGTCACTTTTACATAAGTTTGTATTTAATATTCGCTCAACGTACATTCACAAATTTTGAAGACAATGAAGTTATTTCTAATGTTGACTATTTTCCAAATGATAGAACTGCTCAATGTCATATTTATTCATATTCATATATATTAAAATATTATGATAATATTACTAATAATTTTCCAGGTGAATTATTTAATCATGTTCAAATAGTAACATTATTTGATGAACGTCTTTTTGAACATGAATTTTTTATGTGAATTGCTAAAGCATTTCCGTTTCTTAAAGACTTAACAATAAATAATTTAGAACCACAAAAAAAATAAACAGTATTCAAATGTGAATGATGAAAATCGAGATTTTCAAGGCATTGCAAATTATCATCTAATAAAACTATGTCTTCATTGAGTTCATAATGATTATGATTATTGTCTGAATAATTTCAATAAATTACCAATCTAAAAAAGATAAAACGTAACAACAAAATTCAAATAATTATCGAATTTTTTTCAATCTTTTAGTTTGCTTTCTTTTATTGTTTCTCTTACAATACATCTAAAATATTATTGTTTATTGTCTGTAAAAATTAAAAGACAGGATGAGTATGTAAATTAGCCTACAACACTGAATAATATCCACTCTTTGAAATGGAATACAAATTGATTTAAAGAAGGACTTGAAGAAGTGTTGGCGTAGGCATGAACCAGTGACTCAATGAAAGTCATGCTTTTGTTCATACTTAACAAATGTTCGAGTGAAGATATTGTTGTGGAATTGGATTGGTTACTGTGCAGTATATTATTTGCATGCGTAACACTGATTTTTATTTCGAATCCAAATGGCAATCGTTCTCCCATCGGTTCAGATCGATTGTTGGATCTAATATTTAAATGATGAGTCATGTATGAGGCTACCATTCAATTTCGCTGCCAAGATCGTTTTACTCTGAAGCCAAGTAATCAGTTTGAAGCAACACAACAAACTAGCTGAACGGTAGTCAAATTTTTTGATTGGATGCCATTAGTTGTTTGGTCATGCTTGTATCTATTTAAATGTATAATTTTTTTTATATATTACAATTTTCATGATATTATCTTGAAATGCAACAAATATTAGATGGTCTCTCAATTGTACATATTCGTTAACAGCTATTCATAATCGACAGCTACAACTCATAGCACACACCATTCCATGAGCCCATGTAAAAGTGAATGTTCTGTGTGACAGATGTCAAAAATACCAGCTAATTAAATTTCTGTTTATGTTATATTCAATACCAGTAGGAACAAAATCATAGGGTGAAGAATCAAGTGTAGGTCGAGAATTTGAGTTTAGATGCGAGTGAAGAAAAGATCTACATCCAAACCGAAACCTACACCCACAATCAACAAGAAATACGTTAATGATAATGACAATGCGAAGTAAAACCTTCTAAACATCAGAAGATCCCCAACTGAGAATCAATTTTTTAAAAATAATTTCTATAGCTTATTAATGTTTTTTAGTATTTACGTCTATAATAATATCTACCTTGAGAATGGACAATATTTTGCTTTCATCCTTATAGCAGCGTGTCAGTTGTAAGGTAGAAAAATCATGAAAACCAACTAATAGAAAGGAACAGTCTATTGAAAAAAAACATTTCTTTCTTGAGAACATATTATGAAGTCCATTGAATGGTATTTTCTGACATTACCTGAAAAAAAGTTTTTTAAGTTCTCTATTCGATAAACTCTTTCCCACGATCAGAGAATGTCATTGGCGCAGTATACGTTCTCACAAATCACACATGAAAAGATCTTTCTAAAATAGGAATATACTCAGTAGAATTGCGTTGTGTATTAATTAAAAGGCTTCTTCGCCTTTGCACTTTCTACTAGAAATTCAGAAACGTTTTTGTCATAAAGCAGTGTATTCATAATTGAAAGTACATCTCTTCAGATATACATGTTGAGGTTTGTTCTGTGAAATATTCATTTGAAACGTGACAACTTAATTCTTTTCGCGAAAAGATCTAGAGACACTTTTCAAAGCACACAAGAAAACAAGCTGAATGTGTACTTAACTACTGTTTTTGTTTAAACGGTTTTCTCGCAGACAACGATACTCATTGAAATTAGCTTGAAATTACGAATTCTGCTAATGATACATTTCACTGTGCATGCATTCAAATGAAACTATTCAAATCTTAATATAAGGAATTGACTTCAAAAGTTTTCACAACAAAACACAAATAATTTTCTTTTTTTATCGCAGGGTCTAATCGGTTTCTTTTTCACTATACACTTGCGGAATAAGTGAAATTGACTCGTTCACTAACGATCTATGAAGCAAATATGAATTGAAACTAGGAATTATTGGCTAGCACCAAAAACATGACTTTTTCAAGGATTCGTTAGAAGACCCCAAGTCTTTTGATACATGGAGACCATTAATTATTCGCTTTTCTTTGAATAACATCACTTAAGATTAGTGGAAATTAATAAAATCAGTGAAAAGTGTTTAATTTGCGAAAACGAAACACTCTTAACATGAGTCTTTTGAGAAAGACTTCAGAAAAAAGTGAAACCCATGGGAAAAGGAGTTCTCTATACCAGTCAGCAAGAAATTCTCTACAGAGCCGCATCCAATCAACCGTTTTCGTTACCGATCAAAACACTAGTACAGAAACTATTCGAGTCACAAAAGCAACTATTGATGAAGACAATATCCTATGCTTGCCCTATCATTGTCATCTATAACTTTCAAATATGAAACTGTTCTCTATGGCTTTAGTTGAATAAAATCGTAATGCTTTGGATCAAGTACATGTGGATTAATAAGATGATGTTGAACAAGTAGACCCACTGTAGTTAAAGCTAGTTTTTCTTCCACGCCTGGTCCTCGATTTTGCCAATATTCACCAAATACACCATGTGAATCAGCAGGATTCAACTCAGAAACATTAAAACCCATACGAGCAATGGCTACAGTTAATCGATGCATGTCTTGATCAGCAACTAATACAGGAATACAGCCTTGGTAATTGCTTCCATTAAATTCATCAACAAACGCTTGATACGTATCTCGTCTTTTATCATTTCGATAGCTTCCACCAAAAATAGGTAGAGCAAATACAACGGCTTGTATGTTTCGATAAGTTGGCCCATCTTCTTCAAGTACTTTTCGAATAGCGAATGCAGAAAGTGCTCGCACTGTTTCATCAATTCCAATAGCTGTACCAGCAAATACACCAAGTCCAATACCTGTTTCGACTACAACTTGTACTTCTTCATTATCACAAGCTTGTAGTCGAAGTCTTGCCATATGCATTAAATCTTTTTGAAGGAGATCTTTGTCTAGTTTTCCTCGTGAACCATTAGGTTTCCGACGAAAATCTCTTTTATTATAAACTAGTAGTGCACCCGACTTCGGATTGATTTCATAAACATCCTTCCAGTTTGTGACGTAAGTAACAATATCCTTTATATCATGTACTCGTCCAGCAAAATCAACACCAGTTACTGAAACTAATTTAATTCGATGTGACCATTCTTCTTGCGGTGCACGAGGTATTATGCGAGCATCAAATTCCATCAAAATAGGACATTTTGAAATTCGAATAACAAATTTCATACGAAATGCTTCTTCTCCATATTTACTCTGTCCTTGTAGTGCTCGTTGAAGAAATTCTTCATTCATACCCTTAA